TGTTGACCAATGCGGTGTATGTCACATGCAGAAAGCTTTTAAAAGTTGTTAAACTGGCGAACTTTTCAGGAGAGGCTATTTTTCCAACATTATTCCAAGTTTTAACTATTCGGTTAAAGAACGATCCTTGGAAAGTGGATGTTCTACAGTAAGGAGATTTTAACATTAGAGATGGATTCTGAGTACGAGTTCGATTATGATGTATAAATGACACAAAATGTTCAATGTTCAAATAAGTGTGGCCGAAAATACATTTATAGACCAGAACAAGATCTCTGATTTCTCGATCGCAAGTTAGTGGCAATAAATTGAGAGTTTTCAGTCTATCTTCATAAGACATTTCTCCAACTTTACTTTTGAGGATCCAACGTGTAGCGCGCCTTTGAACTCTTTCTAATGCAACTTGTAGCTTCACATTAGCTGGGAACCACACCTCCGTTGTGTAGCACAACTTTGATTTTACCAAAGTCATGCAGGTATAGTGTTCGCCTAACTTTAGTATCTCTAATCAGGGGACAAGTTCTCTTTAAGATACCAAGCATCTTGTTGGCTTTACTTACAATTGAGAAAATGTGAGAATCCCAGGATAAGTTGCTTTTGACAATAATTCCCAGATCTTTTTCTTGGTGAGCGCGTTGTAAAATTACATTACCCAGACGATAGTCAGTAATTACAGGTAATTTTTAATACCTTACACGTTAAATTTCATGTTAGAGTTGAATTGAATTGAATTTATTTCCAAGTATGCTTATAGTACATTACATTTCCCGAGTTATATTATTTATTTATGTTTACATATTTGGAAGAAGGACTATAATAAACCCAAAAGGCTTTTGCGAGTAGTCCTCCTTGAGATAATACTTAGCTATAATGTTAATATATGTCTATTTCTAATATCTATCAGGTAAACATTGCGGTTCATCAGTTCAATTGGAGTACATATAGTTAATTATATGCGGAACAATTACTAAATACATTCTATATAATCGTACACTAAAAGTTGTTTTTTATTCCCTAGTGTACACTAATCATTATGTTTCTAATTTTATTCTATATAACATGACGTTATAGTTTGTCTTGAGACAACAAATATATTTTCATTTCCGTTTTGAATTTCTTTTTTGTACATGAATCTTTTATTTTTTTGGTATTCCATTCCATATTTCTGTTCCCGTATATTTTATTGAAAATTTTCCATAATTTGTTCTATTGCCTTTTTTATGGATCAAATTTGTACTTCTTGTATTATGCTTATGAATTTCGCTATTCAAAGTGAAATAGTTGTCAAAAAAGGTAGGTAAATTTCCTTTTGCGTAATCGTACATAAAAAGGCTAATGCATAGTTTGTTAAGTTGCACAATTTTTAACTGTTTTGTTTTTCGAAAAAGTGGTACCGATTTTGCATTATATGAACTTAATGTGATGATTCTAACTGCTCGTTTTTGTATTTTGAGAATCTTTTTTAGTTTTGAGGGATAATTATTTGCCCAAACTGCATTACCGTAATATAGAAAAGGGTAAATTAGTGTGTTGTATAATGTTGTTAATGTGTCTCTTTTTAGGAAGTTGCGTGTTTTGTTGAGTATGCCAGTTGTTTTGGCAATTTTATTAGCTACATAGTTTATATGATCATTCCAAGTTAAGTGTTGGTCTATTATCATTCCTAGAAATTTCGTATTTTTGACATGAGCAAGATTATCATTTTCATGTTTAAGTTTCAAGATTATCATTTTCATGTTTATTTTATGTTTAAGTTTCTTTTTCTTAGATTTAAATACTATGTAATTCGTCTTTTTTATATTAAGTGTTAATTGATTATTTTTAAACCATTCAGATATTTTTTTAATTTCATTATTTACAACTAATTCTAGTTGTTCAATATTTTTCCCAGAATAGAAAAGATTTGTATCATCTGCAAAAATGATGAATGATGTTAATTTACTTGAGTTAAATATATAATTTATATATAATAAAAATAATAGTGGTCCTAAAACAGAACCTTGTGGTACCCTACACTGAATTTTTTCTTTTCTTGATAATATATTATTGAATTTTACTATTTGTTCTCGATCAGTTAAATAGTTTTGAAACCATTTATAAGGCATTCCCCTTATGCCATATGATTCTAATTTTTGTAGTAAAGTTTTATGATTTACTGTATCAAATGCTTTTGACAAGTCCAAAAATATCCATATCGTAAATTCATTGTTTTCAATTGCTCTTTTGATTTTTTCAGCTAAGTGGATAATTGCCATTGTGGTTGATCGATTGCGTCTAAATCCATATTGATTATTATGTAAAATATGATTTTTTTTAATATAGTTAATAGCTCTTTTGTACATTAGTTTTTCTAGGATGTTTGAAAAACATGGAATAACTGATATTGGTCGATAATTATTGAATTCTTCTTTATTTCCAGCTTTAAATATTGGTGTAATCAGAGATATCTTAAGATCATTAGGAATTATCCCTGTTTCGAATGTCAAGGTGCTACTTTTGGATGAATCCCATCATAACCGTGACTCTTGTTTGGTTTTAGTTGGTTTATTATTTCAAATACTTCTGATGTTTCTATATCGGTTAAAAACATTGAATTTCCATGGTTCCCTTCTAAATATTGTTTAAAATTACTTGAATGTTTGTCAAATTGTTTTGCCAGATTTGGTCCAATATTGCTGAAGAATTCATTGAAATTGTTATATATTTCTGTAGGGTTGTTTGTATACTTTTTATCGTGTAGAAAAGATGTTGGTAGTTGTGGTTTGTGTTTTTCCTTTCTGATTAATTCTTTTATTGTATCCCATGTCTTTTTAATGTCACTTTTACAGGTCTCAAATTTTTTGTCAAAGTACATTTTTTTCGCTTTTCTAATTACATGAGTTAGCTTGTTTCTATAAAGTTTATATTTTATTTCATTTATTTCATTCTGAGTTTTTAGAAATTTTCTATAAAGTTTATCTTTTTTTCGAGAAGATTTTACGATGCCTTGGGTAATCCATGGGCTTTGATTTAATCTTACTTTTGTTGCTTTTACCGGTCTTAAGGGAAAGTGTTTGTTATATTTATCTGTGAATGTTTTCATGAATGTGCTATATGATTCATTTGGATCGCATATGTCAATTACAGGGGCGGATCTAGCTTAAAATGTGACCGTATCATATTCCTAGGTCTCGCATAACTAGGGGGGTCCGGGGTTTTGAAATTTGAACCTCGGAAATGCCATTTCCTGCGTTCTGAGCCCATGATTCTGGCCTAAAATTTGGCCTTAACAAGGTCATATTTTAAACACAAAGTAACAAAAAAACACACATTAAAATGTGGCCGGGGGCGTTTTGACATTGAAAAGTCAGCTTTAGCGACTGTGTACATTTAATATTCTCGACCGGTCCCTATTTAAATTAATAACATATTGCACGCGCAATGCTGCAATATGACTTTACATATTAATATCTTCAGTTAGACGAATGCTATGAAAACAAAAATACTACCGTTCGGTTCATTGAAAGAAAATCACTTAATTCCTAACGATAGTTTTAGTCAATATAGCGATGTATGAACTTTGAGAGCAATGAGAGGTCAAGCAATATCATATATTTCACTATATTACTCAATTTTCTCGAACAATGTAAACTAGCCATACCTTTCCCCGAACATAACTTCGGCCCCTTCGGACATATTCTTTTCGTAATAGTCTTGTTCTAATTGGCATCCAATACACTATTTAAAACTGTTAATATTTTAAGACGTCTTCTGATATGTAAGGCCATCAGCCCATCACGCACTCAGTTACATTAGAAGAAATGCGGCTGTTAGCAATATTAGACGAAGTTTCCGAGCGGTTCACGATTATTTTATTTCTTGCGCAATCAAAATACAGCCACAGTATCAGAGGGTATCCGACGTCATAGATACACGTCCTGTGATTGGCTGGATACCCTCCAAGGTATCCAAATACCTCATTAAGTTACTATTTTTAGTAACATTTGAACCGCGGACCGTATCAGAACACCGCAGACGCATTTAAAAACACTTTTCCGATCGGGTTACGTTACCTCGGGTTATGCCTTCGGAAAGCTCTCGGCTCATCTTCGTCGAAAGTAATTCAATGCTTTAAAAACACGTCTAATGTTACATTTAGAGCTGTGAATTTTAGAATTTACAAAAGAATTTGCCCTCTTTCATGTTAGTAAACTCAAATTTTCACTATTTTTGTAAACAGAAATGAATTGCGTGAAAATATATTAATGTTGAATTTTTCCCCAAAACTATTTTAGTATTCATAATCGGAAAAATCTGACCGTATCTTGAGCTACACTCGATACCCCCTGGATCCGCCCCTGAATTACATTTTGCCAGGTCTCAGCTTTTATATCTTCTCTAAATTGTCGTATGTGTCTGTCATTTATGTGTCTAATCATATTTGTCTTATTTTTTGACTTATTTAAGTTAGATACATTTTCTTTGCTTTTATTTATTAGAAAAACTGGTAAATGATCTGATATATCATTAAACAGTATTCCACTAACTTGTATATTATTTTCTACATTAGTGAATATGTTGTTTATTAGTGTTGCTGTCGTCCTTGTGATGCGAGTTGGTTTTAATGTAGTTTGTAGGAACATTGATGACATCATTTGATTTAAAAATCTTGCTGAGTATTCGCACTTTTCATGTTTTAAAAGGTCTATATTGAAGTCAGCTAATAGATAACAAGTTTTCGATTCATTATCTATTCTATTTAAAGCTGAGTCAATTTTCTCCTCAAAATCTTTGTATATATTATTTGGAGGTCTATAGATCAGTCCTAATATTATATTTTTTTCTTTAGCATTTTCTAATTCGATAAAAATACTTTCAATATTACTTGTGTTACATTCGCTTGTTATATCGTTTCTAATTTTAGCTTTAATGTTATCTTTAATATAAATACAAACGCCTCTACCTATTTTAGATTTTCTGTTAAGGTTAAATTTTACATAACCTGGTATATTAAATTCATCAGCGTCACAAGTTGTATCATTAATCCATGTTTCTGTTAGAGCTATCACTGTAAAGGAATAATTTAACGTCGCTAAATAGTTTAGAAAGTTATCGAACTTATTTTTTATGCTTCTTATGTTTAGACTTAATATAGAAAACTGATTCTCTAGAATATGCTCTCGTTTAATTAATTCAATGAAATCAGTAGTTAGATAATAATTGTTTTCCACCGTTGTCTCATGTTTAGTGCTTGTATAATAGTTGTGGTCTGGATTTAGACTTCCTAACATGTCACTGTCTATGTTACGTTCGTTCCCTGCTGCATGTTGATTTTCAAATGGGTTAAAAACCAAATTTTCTAAAGTGTCACGATCATGTTGTGTGATATTTGTGGTTAAGTCGGAAATTGCATCTTGAAAATCTTGTTCGATAAGCTGATTAAAAGGTAGACAGTTTCCTATGCATTTCCTGCAGATGAAATTATTGTCATTTTCTAAATTCTTTAGGTCTTCACTCTTATCACTATAAAAAACAGTAACTATGAAATTGTTTCATGCAGTTTTTACATGCTTTCAAAATCCCCACTATCCGACGCTTACATTCATTGCATGTTTTATCTATGGTAGTCATATTTGAAGTTGAATTTCTAATTAATTAATTATTTTTCTTTACTTACGTATTATTATTTATATAGTGTTATTTTCCGTAGTAGAGTTGTCCATTGATATACAATTTATCTTTGACAAGCTTAACTTTATTCCCGTCTTCTTTTGCCTTTTTGAGAACTGGATATAAGCTCTTCCGTATGTCTGCTATTTCTTTTGGAAATTGCTCCCCGATTCCTATCGATGTACCTTTTAGTTTGCTCGCAGATCTCTTTACCAATTCTTTGTCTGGGTAGCGAAGGAATTTGACGACAATTAGTCTTGCTTTTGGATTTCCTCGTCTGTTTCTTCCTATTCTGTGTGCTCTTTCAATGGGCATTTTGCTGCTTGCATCATCGATCTCGAGTTTGTTTTGCAGTATTTCATATACTTTCTCTACACATTTTTCAGGGTATTCATTTTCCGACTCCGGTATATTAAATATTAACAGGTTGTTCCTCATCGAGCGCGCTTTAATGTCGAGGATCTCACGATTCATTTTCTCTTTCTCTTCTTCAATCTTTGAGACCCTTTCCTCTAGCTTTTTTATTTGCTCATTTTGCTTCTTTTGACTTGATTGAATTTCACTTGTTGTATCATGTTGGTAGGTTAGGGAGTGCTTCAAGTTGTTAATCTCACCGTCAGTGTTATTTAGTCTCGTCTCTATGGCATCAAGCTTGTCGAGTTTTGTTAAGTTTTCATTCATGGACGAGATAACAGTCCATATTTCCTCAAGACTGACTTTATTGGATTCTTGCATTTTCGGTTCTTTTTTACTTGGTTTAATTGGTGTACTATTTACGGAATTATTAAGACTTTTTGCGGAGCGTTTTAAAGACATTGCTTCACCTGATACCTGTTCGACGGATCGTACCGTTCGTACGGCTCGTAAGACGATTCACGATCCGACAAATCCGTACGTTTCGTGAAATGGCTTTACGGACCGTACGAAGCGTATACGGTTCGTGAAAATGAATGATTTACAGGTCGACCTAAAATAGGAAACCACGCAATATATCAATATAATATATTGTTGCTCCGTTCTTTAGAAACCACGCAATTTATCAGTATAATATGCAATATATGAATATAATATATTGTTGCTCCGTTCTTAAAGAACCACGCAATACTGTCAATATAATATATTGTTGCTCCGTTCTTAAGGAACCACGCAATATATCAATATAATATATTGTTGCTCCGTTCTTAGGGAACCACGCAATATATCAATATAATATATTGTTGCTGCATTCTTAAGGAACCACGCAATATATCAATATAATATATTGTTGCTCCGTTCTTAAGGAACCACGCAATATATCAATAGGTTCGTGAAAATGAATGATTTACAGGTTGACCTAAAATAGGAAACCACGCAATATATCAATATAATCGCTCCGTTCAATATAATTGCTCCGTTCTTTAGAAACCACGCAATTTATCAATATAATATGCAATATATCAACATAATATATTGTTGCTCCGTTCTTTAGAAACCACGCAATTTATCAGTATAATATGCAATATATGAATATAATATATTGTTGCTCCGTTCTTAAAGAACCACGCAATACTGTCAATATAATATATTGTTGGAACCACGCAATATATCAATATAATATATTGTTGCTCCGTTCTTAAGGAACCACGCAATACATTACCAGAAATGTGGGACATTTTGCGTCCGCAATCGTAACCAGCGGTTTTATGCATAAATGATGATTCATCAAAAAATACAAACAAAATGGCGGCTCATAGTCTTCAAAGACAAATCGTGTTGTTAATATATTGAAGAGGAAACTCCGTGCTGACGGCTAAATTCCATTTTATTTTACTGTGATTAACTAATGTAAGATTGTCTGACATTTTTTACAACAGCGGAACCACTATTTGTGGCTGGGAAGAGCATAATTAATTTAAAAACAAATATGGCGGAGAAGAAACGCAATGTATGAAAATTTTATCGTAGTTGTGCTGATAAAAATGGCCTCTTGTAGCATGTATGGATGAATAAAATGGCTAAGTTTAGAGGATTTTGGAAGTAGTTTCTTGCGGAATTTAGATACTTTTGTTGGCGAATATATAAACTTTGAATGTTATTGAAACAATTGCGATGCCAAGCTCAAGATTTCGCTGGATATATTTCCGTACACCAGGCTGCGTTTGTGGCGTGTATTGTCAGATCCACATGTAATATAAGGAGTTATTATGCTGGTGAATGTGATATCAATAGTGAGCTCGGGAAGTGAGTGTATTTTATTCTAGAAATAGTTGTTAGAATTAATAGATTCCGGAATCAGCATAGCATGTGAAACGATGCCAAGTAAGCGTGATTTGCGGCTCATTCATGCGATATTTGAGAAAGTTCTTATATGCCTATACTAATCCCAGCATTATCGGACGCCATTTTGTTGCGTAATTTTTTGTCATGCATGTCCACCATCTTGACCCACATTTCTGGTAATGATATCAATATAATATATTGTTGCTCCGTTCTTAAGGAACCACGCAATATATCAATATAATATATCACGCAATATATCAATATAATATATTGTTGCTCCGTTCTTAAGGAAACACGCAATATATCAATATAATATATAGACTTGGATGAAGTCCGTCTCTCTAGAGTCCGAGGGAGAGCGCGACCTCGCGCGCCGCTTCGCGGGGCGCTCGATCTCGTCGCTTCGCGACTCCAACTCTAGAGAGACGGACTTGATCCAAGTCTATATAATATATTGTTGCTCCGTTCTTTAGAAACCACGCAATATATCAATATAATATATGTGACCCTCTTTGGGAAAACATACGTTAACGTTTTTCCGTTAAAACGGCCAAAAAAACGGATTGCAAACAGATAGTGAACGGTTTGTATAAACCGTTTTCACGGTCTTCGAAAACGTTAAAACGGTGCCATGATATTTTTTAACGCTTTCGAGAAACCGTTTTCACGGTTAAAGGTTACCGTTTAAACGGATGGTAGAAGCCGTTTTCGCGGATAGTGGCATCCGTGTTAACGGATGAAGCCACCAGTTTAAACGGATGAAGGAATCCGTTTTAACGGATAGAGGAAAGTGTGCGTTTAATGGATAGCCGTTAAACGGTTTGAGGGATTAAAATAGGATTAAATCAATCCTTAAATTGAAATCACGCCGCGGTCAAGAATACTGATAGTAATAAGCATACTGATCGATTAAAGGGATTCAAGATCGCTCATTTAAATGTACGAAGCTTAATCAAGCATATCGATGAACTAAGGCTGTATCTTTATAAACAACAATTTGAAATAATTAGCGTTAACGAAACCATGCTTGACCTGTCTGTCTCAAATCAAGAGATCAAAATTAATGGTTATGATATTGTGAGAAAAGACAGGAATAGGCATGGTGGTGGAGTCGCAATATACATAAGAACCTCAACAAACTTCATAATAAGAGACGATTTAACTGACGATAATCTCGAAACAATTACACTTGAAATTTCAAAACCAAAATCCAAACCATTCTTAATTAATAGTTGGTATAAACCACCCAATACAACACTTGAAATATTCAATGCATTCGAGGATTTAATTACTCGAATGGACTCTGAAAACAAGGAAATAATTTTACTTGGAGATTATAACTGCGATTGGTCTCGCTTGGAGGCTAACCCATGCCGATATTGATGTTGTATGTGATGTTATATGATAATTATGTTCGTAATAGATGAAAGTTATGATGACGCGACGTTGTAATTTTATATTGAATATAGTTAGAACAGCGAGTAGAGCGAATTAAGCTTATTAACAGTTTTGATTATGCGTGTTTATTATACGAGAAAGTTTCTGTCAATAACAACATGCAGTACTCGCTGATTTATGAAACGCTTTATTCGTATTTTTTTTCAGCCCCCCATATATATCTACCTAGAAACAAAATACCTACAGTAAGAGCTTGTGCAATTAAGTTGTCTGCATCCTCTCGCTTATTACATCCATATAGCTACTTTGTTTTGAAGCTGTCGCGCAGCTTAGTTCAATGAATCTTTACGCCGCAAAACCTATTAACTTAAAATTTCGGCATACTTCGAAACCCGGACCGGACTCGGACTCGGACTCGAAGAAAATCCGGACTCGCGAAAACCCGGACCCGGACTCGAAAGAAATACGGACTCGTGTTTAAGAAAACCCGGACTTGACTTTTGAAAACCCGGACTCGAAATAGACAAAACCGGATTCAAAACAAGGACTCTGTGTACGAAAATGCAAAGGTTTTTTGGAAAGGTTTTAAAATAATTAGTAACATGATAAACGATGATCTCTTTTATATCTTTATCTCGATATTTTTAATCTTCTGCTGTTAACAAAATAATCACTTAGATATACAGGAACCAAATAATTAAAGCACTTATAAGTTGTTTTTTGTTGGGTTTTTTTGGGCTAGTATTCCAAAGGTCGTAGGTTCGAATCCCACCGTGGCCGGGCATATTTTTCAAGCTCGCCCGGTGTGGATATACACTCAGAGTAACATCACAAATATCACTTATAAGTTATTAAAAACTAAAATGTATTGATGCATACAATGTACAAGTAGCTAGTACGAGGGTAGCATGTTGATTGTTGATTCTCAAAATAACGTAAACTTGATTTATTGTCAAACTTCATTGTCAGTATCGAGCCGCGGTTGTATGCAAGGCATATATGGGGCAATCGATGAACGCATTGCCAAACGAGAGAGTCTCAATATCAAATTTACGCCAACCATCCAACGCGAATTTCACTGTCGGCCGCGGCTGCGGCTTTCATTGTGTTGTGTTTTCTACTATTTTTGATAAAGAATAATTGCGGGTGTTCAATTCGTGTTTATGGACTTTATCTTAACGAAATTGAGAAAGTAAACTTGTTTCCAGTGCCGTCTTGCCCAAATATTTGAGAGCATGATATAATATCAAATTTATGTCCATCCGCACAACGCTCGAATTACTTCACAGTCGGTATTTAGCATTTTAGGCGCGGTTGCCGCGACACCTTCATTGCCTTCAACATGGGATGTGCTTTTCCGGCGTTCTTTTTGATTGGTTGAAGTTACTTTTGATGGGTTGAAGTCTAGTTATTTTTTTTGTTATTTTGCCGATAGTGAGGTCGAATATGTTTCGAGGATATATTTTACGATTTTTACCCTTGCCGCCATCGATCACGCTGAGTCTGTTATGATGGCAGCAATCGTGTAACGAGTGGTTTACAGACAAGACATTCCTAGCGCTGAGACAGATTTTAGTTATTAATTTTTGTCTAGGGTAAATTTAGCTACTCGCAGGAGTATGTATTTTACAAATTTTACAAATATGTTGTGTATGGTCAGCGTGGTTAAATAAATTTTTAAATCAAGTAGGTAAGTAAGTATGTATAAATGCATTTTGGTGTTCACGTGCCTAAATGATTTGTTTAGGTAGGCTATATAGTGATTATTTTGTTAGGGACCATATAGTATGATAACTGATTAGTATCCTCAGATAACGCATAACACTGAGTCTGACTAGAAGAAAAAAATATCTACATCTTTCGAAACCAAAGCACAAATCCATTTATCCGCGAGTTCACCGATCGAACCTTTGCATTCTCGTACACAGAGTCCTTGTTTTGAATCCGTTTTTGTCTATTTCGAGTCCGGGTTTTCAAAAGTCAAGTCCGGGTTTTGTTAAACACGAGTCCGGATTTTCTTCGAGTCTGGGTCCGGGTTTTTCTCGAGTCCGGATTTTCTTCGAGTCCGAATCCGGGTCCGAGTCCGAGTCCGGTCCGGGTTTCGAAGTATGCCATGTCGAAGACTCGAAGTATAGCTATCTGTCATCAGACGAACACCG